TGTATTGTATATTAGAGATAGATTGAGTGTATGGTATATAGTTGTACTGTATATTAGAGATAGATTGAGTGTATGGTATATAGTTGTACTGTATATTAGAGATAGATTGAGTGTATGGTATATAGTTGTACTGTATATTAGGCATAGATTGAGTGTATGGTGGATAGTTTTACTGTATATTAGAGATAGATTGAGTGTATGGTATATAGTTGTACTGTATATTGGGCATAGATTGAGTATGGTATATAGTTGTACTGTATATTAGAGATAGATTGAGTAAACTTTCAGTTCAAAAACATCGTTCTCACGTGAAATTTTTTTTGCGACGCTTTTCACAGCTATGTCGGTCGCTCGCCGGCCGCCGCCACGGCAACGGGAAACAAATACCAGCACAAGACGGAACTGGAGCTGTTGCTAGGCGACGCGATGAGCCTCGAGAACGCGACGGGTGGCGGCAGGCCCGTCTGACTAGCGGCGCCCCCTGCTGGAGCAGCGGCGGTGACAGGTAAACACGACGGTGATGATGTCACGGCGACACGGGTTCATGCGATGCAGCAGCAGCAGCGGCGAGCGGACGGGGAGAACGAGGGTTCCGCGTGGTACAACGCGCAGGACAGCACAGGGGGCGCAGCAGGAGGTGACGCGGCGATGCCAGATAGAGGGCGCCGGTCAGAGTCAGACGGAAGCCGGGGCGGCGATGCGCAGGACGAAGAAACGCACAGAGTCGCGCTGAGTCCAGCAGTGGGTCTGTGTTTGAGTTCGCTCGCGTGTAAGGCCTTCATGCTGCGATTCAAATATTAGATCTGTGTGTGGCACAAAGTGTGTGCAAAGAGTATGTTCCCCCTCCCATCCCCTCTCGGTTTCTCCCCTGGGTCCCCTCCCCTCGGTTTCCTCCCCTCCAGTCTCCTCCCCCCTTTGCCTTAGTACCATGGGTTTTTTTGTTTTGGTTGATAGAATTACATGGAAAGAGAATTTAGTTTTTAATATTTCGTATTTACTCGTTTTTACACGTAGATCGACTGTCAGTGCACAGAGAGTCACTGTTTTCTTACGTTGAACAGACTTTACACTTTGCGTATCCAAATTTTATTGTCTGCGACGATACAGATGCAGATTAAGTAGAGTGAAAAGTCGCATGAATGTGTTTTCGTGTAGACGGCATGTCAGTGTCCGTGTTTTGTTGAGAGCACATGAGTAGTGTTGAATTTGTTTTTCCAGGTGTTTCAAAGTCGTCGTCGTCAGTAGCTGTGAAATAGGTGGTGAGACATGCTTTGGCTGCTTAGGGATGCTTTATCTTTGTGTACCTACCTGATAAACGAGCTAAGCCTGTATCCCCCTCATCCTCCTCCTATTGCTGTAATGTGGGCCAAAACACCTTTTGTTGGAACATATCCAGTACTCAGTGTTTTCGGCAGTAGTGTGACTCGAACATCTCCGTTAAGTTACAGATGCAATTGATTGATAGATCATCATGGCATCATCTTTTTTCTTGCACCTTCTGATTGAGAGTCTGGCCGCCTGAACTTCATTCTGGTCACACCTAGATTCGTTTGAGACAGCCGCAAAAAAACAGTACCCTAGTAGTTTTATCTGATCCTGATGGCATACTCATAGTATGACATAGTATAGCATAGCATTGCATATAGTATAGCAATCAGATTCTATTGGATGCAATTAGATTTTATTCATGATGGCTTACAATAAAGAATACAGATTTATGGGAGGTCTGTGCTGTTGTTAGGGGGTTTGGCTTTGTTTGTTAATAGCCAACTAGTCAACTACCAGGTGAATTAGTGCAGAAAATTTTATAAAATATAAAATCGTTTAGTTTTATTTTATTTTCTTGTAACCCAACTGGTCCTCGTGTATGTGTGCGTGTGCATTTTTACATGTATGCGCGCGCGTGTGCATACGTGCGTGCGTGCGTGTGTGTGCTTGCGTAGGTGCTTGCGCTTGTGTGTATGTGTGTATGTGTGTGTACGCCGTGCGTTCTCCCTTTACCCGTGCAATCGTACGTTGCTGAATGTAGACTTACTAATGCTCGGGATGTGTGCACTCTAATTTTTAACTCTTGTCAACTCCGAGAAACGAGAATTGAATCGATTGATTAACGTGATGTTGGTTGCTGTTGTACACTACTCGAACGCAGTAGCGATGCATTTTACATGCTAGACGGACGGTGGAACAGTTTAATCATTGTCTGCGTTTTATGTTATGAAGACCATGCAAAATGGCAGCTAACTGCAATGTGTTTGCGCGTGATTGCGTGTGTGCATGCTTGCTCCATGCTAGGTAGGTTTGTAAGAAAATAACCCGGCGGCGGTAGAATAAAATTTCTATGCGAAGAAAGGGGACATCCGAGCCGGGCTTGTATTTTTATCGTTGTTGGTTTTTCTAAGCAGACAGAGTTTATAAATGTGAGTGCTTTCCATGGGTTTTATAAGAAATTATTTTTACAGCATCTTGTTACTGCAATAGGAGAGCTGTTCCGATTTCGTAAATAATTGTAACGTTAGATGGCACCACGCGTTAGGCATTTTACCGAATAGATCAAACTCTAGATCAAACTTGGAGAAGTGTTAGTTGATAGATTTCTTATGTGCAGAAAATAAAACCGCAACATAATAATACTACCAGCATGTTTTTACAATAGCGGTTTGTCAGCAAATAGAATAATGTTTACATCTCTAGCCCTAGTTGAAACTGTGCGATAGGGTATCACTTGATAACTAGTTAAACTAATTGAGAAAAAGATCACATATGAACCCGTTTTATCTTGGCGCGTGAGAATGAATTAATTAAGACTAGTTAATGCTGTTTCGTATTGCGACTTGACTAACAGAAAATTTCGCGAACAAAGTTGGTATTGACTTAGAATACTTGGCTAGCCGGATGTAGTTACCCGAGTATGTTTTCCTATGATCGATCTCATAAATACTTTAAATCGGCAATTGGTTTTGCGTAACGCGTGAGAAAAGTTGGCCGATTATAATAAATATATAATTCTATGTCTTATAAGCCGTAAGTTCGCCGTAATCATTTTTATTATCCTGTGACAATCCTCTTTCCGAGACAAAATGTTTATCACGCTCGACACGGTTTTTCGCTAATAATAATAATATGACGGAATGTGTGTTCTGACGGAATGAATGTTAGTCGTTGTCGCACATATATGTAGGTTGCCTGTCAACTCAGAGCCGGTGGTCTATGAAGTAGTGATCGTATCGTATTGTTTGTACAGACCTATATCTATTTATACTTGTAAGTGTGTTTGGGAGAGAAATACAACATCGTTATAGTCTGTTCAGTTTTAATGCAATTGTTGTTTATTCTTTTCGTTCTCTTATTCGTTTTATCTGAAGGCATCTGCCTATAGGTGTACATTTAGAGTACATTGCGGTCAGGGTAAATGCGAATATCACCTTTTTGCTCTAGGCTACTATATTTGCTTACAAACGCATGTGGTATTCGGTTTTACATATACTTTGTACCGCATATAAGATCTTATAGTAACTCTCTCACTCCCCCTCTCCCCTCCTCCTACTGACGTGGAGAACCTCTCCTCTTCTCATCCTATCACCAACCTGAACCCCTACCCCTAACTCCATCACCCTAACCTGAAACTCTACCCCTAACTCACACACAACTGCAGCCGTCCCTCGTTGGGGTTTGCCTTAAATTTTCGCCTCACAGCAGCTGTGCGCGGCAGTGCTTGGTTGTTTATACACCGCATCCGCAATGGCTTTGGTGTGTGCGTGTGTGCGCATGCAGATTTGGCGATCATTAAATTAGGTGCGGGTTTCCGGTGAATGCCGAAGTTTCTTCAGGCACATAACGTTTTAGAAAATTGCCTCCAAAAGTCACTTTACGATCGAAAAATCGCGTTTTAACGTAGCGGAATGTATTCGCGACGCCTGGGGCCCCAGCTCCATTCGCGTGAGCACACGCGGCACGGTTTCGGAGGAGATACGGAAAACGACACTTCGGCTTTTTCTACTATTATATAGTAGATACTTCATATATATTTCTGCAGACTCCTGCGTCTTCTGTAGGTAATCTCTAGGGGTGATGATGTCCTGTTCTCCACAGGCTACCTATATCTCACCTCATCAAACCTGTACAAATCTCGACATAAGACATCTCGAGTAAAGATGATGATTTTGATTCACGCTTTTAGTCCCGTAGCGGGCATGAAGGAGAGAGCTACAAAGGAAGACTTTAAATCTCATGACAACTGCATCTCACGAACTTACGGAAAGATCTGTGTACAGCAGGTCTTATAGTTAGAGCAAATCAGTGATAAATTCGCCGAAGTACATACAGCACATTCTCGCAGTCGACATTTTCTGCAACAGCTGAATGGAAATGGGTGAACAATTTTCTATAAACAATATTTGTAGCAGCATGTACACACATTGTTATAACATTTGTCCCGAACATTTACTCTATTTGTTCAAGAACGTAATGTCCCATTCCTGTGTCCTATTGCTAATTCTTTCTAGAACGTTTAATCCAATCACATTCATATAATGTGTTAAATACTCCAGCGCATATAATTCTGTTATTCCTATGCTAATGCGCTACATTTCTTTTACCTCGGCTGTATTGCTCAACCTGTCTGTCATGGTTATCGATGTATTTTTCTGATGCCGTGACTCGGTAAATGCGGTGACTGCGATATACTACAATAAAACATACAACAAAAATCAGCAGTGAACAAACGCACGATGTGGTTTAGGTTACCGTCGTGTGAACATCTACCGCATGGAACTGTCCTTATTTTTGAGATGGTGCTGGTTAGTGGTAAATCAGGAAATGTGAAAAATGACCATAAAGAACTAAAAAAGAGGACTAAAAAGCAAACGGCATGCAAAAGAAATTCCACTGTAGCAATATTTTGAATGAATCTACCTCAATATAAAAAAGTAAAACCTTACTTTATGATATTGTATGTGGTTAGCGCAGCGCCAGTGTATTGTGTTATCGCCTATCGGCTTCATGTGTATTGTGTACATGTATTGTGTGACGTCATTAAACTTGCGTCTTCGTCATCCGGCTTGATCTCTCGTTGCAAGTTTAGTTTATAGCTTGCGTTATCATGTTTAACCTGGAATCAACACATAGTGTGTCAAAAACTGTCCAACTATGTCCATCAACCCCACTCTTTCTCCGCTTTTCACTTCGTTCGCTCTCGGCTTACGCTTGTATCTCGGCACGCTGCCGCAGCCATACACAAATCTTGAGCAGTCTAGCTGGTTAAACACTCTATCAAACTCATTGTCTGAATTCACTTCTGGCTACATGCGTGTAGCGTGAATGACAACGGTAATGAAAACATATTATATATATATTATATAAGTCTGACTGACTGCCATATATTTACTTTATCATGCAGCATTTATCTTAACTCTAAAATTAAAGTAAATATTACAGTCAGACTTATGTTTACCTAAGGTATCTGCGATGCTATGTTATATTATGCCTTAACTATCATAGTGTGCAAAGAAAGCGCATTCTATAAAAATCGTACGCTGCAGAAGTCCTGCTGTCACTATGGCAACAACAATGGCGGTAATTTGTTGGCTGGTTGATTGGCTATCTCTTAAGGTATACAACATACAAGCGTCCTACATATTAACGTTAAATAACACGATTGGCACATGGCACTGTAAATTAAACTAAACATCGTCTCTGCAATATAATATTGCAATATCATCCGTTTCGATGATGTACAGAGAGAGCGACACTGCTGATCTGGCAATGACATTTTTTACCATACAAGTGCGTTTGTGTAATCGTAAGAGCTGACAGTCCCCTGTGGCAGGAATTTATTAAAGTTTACAATCGAGTGGCAGTCCGTAAAAGGAAACGGTGTCGTTTCGTTGTCTGATAATTTGAGTCGAACGTAGAGAAATAACGATTATCGTGGAGTTACGTGACGTAATATGAGCAGCCTCCTTAGCTCAGTGGCTAGAGCACTGGTCTTGTAAACCAGGGGTCGTGAGTTCAATCCTCACAGGAGGCTTCAGTTTTGCTAATGTAAACAATATATATGTGTATATTTATTTATTTATATATTTGGTGCGTGTCTTACTGCTGCTGCTGCTGCTGCTGCTACTGTTGTGATGCACTTGCTCGTGGTGCACAGCGCGACCGTAGACAACCAGTTGAGTCACGTGAGCGGATGTTCGCGGGACGGTAGCGCACACCTGTTATTTTGCCTACTCGGATTGAGCTGTTAAAGCCCGGCGCACACGTGAGTAATTTTATTCAGGCAAATAATGCATGCGTCAAAATACTGACGTGAAATATTTTCAGCGTCCGCCGCACACGTGAGTAAAATTACTCAAAGTATAAGTGGTAATGTAGATCACGTGACTGTACAAAATGGCGGATACCGATAGTTCGTCTGCCTCCGAAGATGAAGAAATTTTATTGTTTCTTTTACTGTGGTTTGCTTGCTCCCTCTTCGTAGGATTCTGTCTGTCGGTGGCTATGTCCAGTATCTGCCATAAAAACTATTATTTAGTCGGATTTATACATTTAAACAAAAATACTACTTCTTTTTGCGGATACTGGGCATGCGCAAAACACATATGGAACCATTTGTCACACTATAGGGAAATTCTGGAAGATACGCCTTATAATGGTTAGTGAGGCGTTGAAATAAACATTTCATAACAAACTATTGATGAGTACGTGCTTTCTACTTTAAAGTACACATGTAAAGTAGAGAGAATCTAATATTTACAAGTAGTTTGCTATGAAAAGTTCCTTTTTCAATGTCTCACTATATTATTATAAGAATAATACTAATTATGAGTTTCCCAGTGATGTGGGTGGAACAGGGTTCGTGAATACCTTATGTAAACAAGGTGTGCCAAACGAAACATACAGTACACATACTACACTATATATCCTACATATACTACACTATATATCCTACACATACTACACTATATATCCTACAGGTAATACATTACAGGTAATACATTACAGGTAATAAATTGCAGGTAATACATTACAGGCAATACATTACAGGTAATACATTACAGGTAATACATTAAAGGTAATACAGGTATACTCATCGATTCTATTTACGGTAAAGAGCACACAACATCTGTAACGCTGCTGCTGCTGAAGGACGATGAAAAAAGTTTAGCCGCATTTTGGATAAGCCTTTTTCTACTATTTGAAGCATTGTTAGAGTTCGTAATGGGCACTGCTAGCGCAACTAACTCGATCCCCACGTAAAAACACGCGTTTATTCATGGCTATACTGCCCAAAACATGGCTACCGTCGGATCGCTGCCTGCACTGGCTTTGGTAAAATTACACGCCTCATCTCTCTCCCCTTCTCTCGCTCCCTCTCACTTTCGCTCACTCACTCTCACGTTTTCTCTCTCTCTCTCTCTCTCTCTCTCTCTCT